TGGGCCTTGTTGCTCAAACACACTGGCTTTAATAACACAACAGAGCATGTTTGTACTGCCACCACTCCAATTTCCCCCTTTATGAGGGATTCACTGTCCCAGGGTGGGAAAGCAGGCTTGTGCTCCCCATGATCTGCCACAAACCACAGCAATTTTAACTCACTTTCTCGCAAAAGACTAAATGCACTGTGGATTTCCAGTTTAATTTGTTTGATTTTAAAGACACTAGCCCTAAACAGTATGTGATCTTTGCTTGAACAAGTTTTCTATTTTGTAGCAACGTCTGGATGCACATCAAAACAACATAAGATGATGCTCTCTGGCAGAACTCTCTTCTCTAGTGTGGGAACGTAAATAAATGACAAAGACACAGATGTTTTCTGAGTAGGCCCGTAAAATGATTTGGGACCAAAGCAAAGCCATAAACGATGCATCTCGGAGGATTGGCAGGCTGATGTGAGCTTGACATGGATCTCTGAAGCTGTCTTGCCTTTTGTCCAGTCTTTTCTTTCTAACCTGAACTGGGAACATGACCTATGACCTACACACCACATTGTCAAGATCAACAGTGGACAGTTGTAGCCTGGTGGCCTGGTCTACTGGTTTACCTTTCACCAAACAAATGGATCTGTGCTGTGCTTTGGCTGTCTCTCTTCCTCATAGTTGAAAATAAATCTCCTGGACCAAACAATGGCAACTTGACTAGAACAAGCTTTGCCTCTAATTGAAAACAGAATGTGTGGGTCGAGTGAGTCATTCCCAGTTTCCATTTCAAAATGTTGTTTTTTTTTGTAAAAAATTACATATTTTCAATGGCCAAGGGTTTATCTCTGGGGAAATAAATTAACATTATTAGTGGGATAGGAATTCAGAACAGTTCAAAAGACGGACAGAACCATAAAGTTGTAACTACACGAAATTATTAGATTTTTTTTCCTTCAATAAAACATTAGGTGTACATGTATCTGATGAATGGACATAGGACACTTCACAATACAATTGCAACATTTGCTTTGTAGCATCTTAAAACAGATAATGCTGATTGTGTGCAACCATCAAAGTGATTTATTTTCACTTTGAGAGTTCCCACAGTGGAGGCCCAAGAGAGTATCTGTTCTCCTCATTTTATGTTCTGTTTGCCCTCGTCGACTGCGTCCTTGTGTTTTTAAACTTTGAGCGTTAATAACCTGTTTGTTAAAAAGGTAATGTCTCTTGCCAACATGTGTGGGTTAATTTGGTGATTTGGTCATGATAATAAGTCCAAATATTTTATGCAATTGCTTTTCTTCAACATACTATGACGTTGTAAAAATTATTCTTCAACCAATACATGATACGTTCTGGCCCAACAGTTTTCTTAATACATGATTTACCGGTACATACAAATGATTGGCTTACCTCTGAACCGATATCCTGAAACAATATTATATATATATATATTATATATTTATATATATATATATATATATAATTTTTTTTTTTTTTTTTTTTTTTTTTTTTTTTATATATTCCATTATATTATATTGACAGTGGTCCCTAGATACGCTATAATTTTATTTTGGTTTGGGGTTTTTTTGTTTTTTTTTAAACAATGTATATTTTATTACCATTGATAACTGTTCTAGCTCTGTGTTAAAAAAAAAAAAACTTAAGACATTTGTACTTTTTTGTTTTTTGTGCATTTAAATTTGCCTGTTTGCTGTTGAAACTTGCTCTCAACCAACCAAGATACCATATAGGCTCCACCTTTGACCATCAGAGAGGAAAATAACAAAGCTCTATGTATGTTTTATAATGAGCACGATCAAAGGAAGGACTTCATGGAGAGGGATTCGTACAAAAGAACAGACAAAGGGGAAGAGCAAAAACTAGTGCGTGGAGAGATGTCTAGTGAGGAGGAAAGGCAGAGGAATGTGAGAGGAGGATGCACGGAGGTGAGGCCAGTGTGTCAGGGCGAGCTGCTGCTGCTGCTGCTGGAACGGGAAGAGGAAGTGGTGAAGAAGGCCAGGGCAGAGCTGGGTCTCCATGACAATTAGACTTTACACTAAGCAAAGCATTTCCAGTATGCCGTTTTCTGTTAATCAATTCAAGGTGGGGTTAGAGTTTTTTTTTGCTTAGTGCAATATTTTACCACAGGGTTCAAACTACGGACCTCTGCTGTCGAAAGCTCTATGTTAGAAGCGTAAAAGATGTTCTTATCTGGTAAAGAATAATGTGGATCCTTTAAATAAATAGAAGTGAAATTCCAGGAACTTGGATCAGTCTTCCAGCGCGTTTGTGTGTGTTTGTGTAAAAAGCCACAGGTGTGTGCGGTCACCATTGTGTCTGAGGCTGTGAGTGATACAGTGTTGCTGGGAGAGGGTCGAGTTTCAGCCAGAGCACTCAGTCTTTTTTCACTCTGAGGACAGTTATGGTGCAGAGGGGAGCAGGGGAGGCCTACACAAGGGGAACACAGCAAGTTACACAAGTTACACTGTACAGACACAGACTCAAGACAAGGCTTCTACATTTGTTTAAAACTTTGTTAAACAAAACACTATGCAAATCTAACGTACAGTGAAATGTGTTTTACAACCTACAACACAACTTTAGGCATTCTCACTGAAAGAACCAGCCTAATCACTGGTATAACAAACTTGTGATAAGCTTCAGCCAAGGGTGAGCCTGTAATATGATACACTTTACATTTAAAGTTGGAGTCAAATCTGTGCTGCTGGGACTGTTCCAGTCTACTGTTTCTGAACTTGGGTGTGTTTCAAGAATGAACAAAGTTAATTTGGCAGTTTTTTGTATTACTTTATTTCACAGAAATATCTTTAGGGATTTAATGCTTCAGTCCACATGGTTTTGTTGACTTTTATTTTACTTTACCTTAAATAGTCAGAAAAAACACATTATAAATATGATAGACATTCCACAACTGCAGGTGATTGGAGAGTTGAGTGTACCCAAGAGCAGTGGTGGGCAATTGTGTGTTTTGCTACATTGTGATGCACTTTGGATTCAACAGTGTCATAAAGTCATTTCGGCACAAGCATGTGGGCATAGTGTTTGTTTGTGATGATGATTACCTTAAAGGGGTGGGTGTAAATTAGCACCACAGTTTTCAACCAGACATCAGCGGCTTTAAAATGTAATGTAACATGTCAGCTATTATAATCACAAAATCATTTTATCTTCTTTTTAAAAGAATGGAATACATTTTAACCAGTGCCAATATTAATGTTCTGATGTATTATTAAATATTATGTTTAATCAGTCAGTGTTACTCTGCACTAGATGCTGATGTCACCCTCTCTGTCCCTGTAGGGCCGGAGGTGACACCCAGCTACAGCAGTGCCATGTCTGAGCCGGTGCTCCCTGAGGTGCCCCCCACAGTGGGCCCTGTGTACGGGGAGAAGCCCAGTGCAGTGGACTTCAGTTATGTGGGAATTGACGCCATTCTGGAGCAGATGAGGAGGAAGGCCATGAAGCAGGGCTTTGAGCTCAACATTATGGTAGTCGGTGAGTGCCTTTTCTCAACCATTTCTTTTGAGATTTCAAAGTCTTTTAATAAGATACTACACAGTCTGTCAGACTCGACAGTGTCTCACCTTTAAGCAGAAGCCAGTTACAGCCACACCTCTGCAGCTGATGGGCCACTGTAAAACTGTTTTAGTGTAAATTCAAATTGTAAGCCTTAGGCTCAGACTGAGACATGCTCTTTTAATTGTATTCAAGACAATCTCCTGATGCTAAAATTAGATGGTATGGTGTCATGACTTGCAATGTGATAACCGTTGCTCCTGTTGCTGTATAAAGCACTTTCTGAGTAGAATTTATATCTGGAGGTCAACCAATATGGGCTTTACCGTGTTTATAGTAAATTAATATAATCTAAAACTACTCATACCCTCATGTTCCCTGGGCATTGTGTACCATACTGTTTGCAAATAAGCTGATTGCACTGGGCATTAATATTAACGTATATGAACATGATACTACAGACTTTTTTAAATATATTTGTGTTGTGTTTGTTTTCTGTTTTGTTTTTCTCTTCATTTCTGTAAATGTAATTTTTCTGTTATTGTGTTTAGGACCTCCTTGCAAACGAGATGTTGCATCTCAAAAGATTTCCCTTCTGAATAAATAAAAATATATAAAATGAAATGAAATAAAGTATTTCTCCAAAATCTCTTACTGTTACCTACAAGCAATATTCAATTAATTTCACAACCCTAGATATCTGCCAAAATATTGTTTACGCTTGTTGTTATGGTATCGAGCGTCATTTGCCCTGTGGTATATTTCAGCTTTAACAGCGCTTGCTAATGAACAGCTTCAGTTTTTATGTGTGTGCTTAAGTTTGTGCAGAGAGGGACTGGACTCTGCTCATCATACGCTGTTTGGTTTTTCTGTCAGTTTGAGTGCTGCAGAAACCTGCTGTTTGTCTCTGCTGAAAGCCCACAGTTTACGCTGCTCTGAACCATTTCCCAACAAGACTTCAGTACATTATGTTTCCTTTACATAAGTGCTACTTAACAGTTCATATTTTGGATTTCTGTATTGAAAATCTGATGTGGTTGTTCTTACAGGGCAGAGTGGTTTGGGTAAATCCACACTGATGAACACACTGTTCAAGTCAAAGGTTAGCCGCAAGTCTGTGCAGGCCACAGCCCAGGAGAAGATTCCCAAAACTATTGAGATCAAGTCCATCAGCCATGGTAAGCATCATGCGGTCTGAAAGCTCATGTTCAGTAAGCTTATGACAGATTTTTGTGATTTTCTACTTTTGACTTAAATTGCTGGATTTATAATAATTAGAAATATAAATTATACTTCCAAGAAGAAATTTGCGAAGAAGGGAGAATTCTACCCAAAAGTTTGTTACAATTTATATTTAAGAAAAAAAAATTTCCTGATACTTTCAACATTAATTCACTACAATAAAGATGTTTTGTTGTATTTGTATTTGTATTCTGTGTACATTAGAGGAGTACAATTTTAAACCCATAAAATTGAGAATACAAGGGTTAATGATTTTGCAAAAAATCTTAAGTAGAATGATCTTAGCTGTGTTTTAGTAAAGTTAGCCGTCTAATCGCTCATAGGCACTTTCATTTTAATGTTGCAATGCTAAACAGCACGTTGATTTGAAGTGAATGTTTGTATTTGCAGACATCGAGGAGAAAGGTGTGAGAATGAAACTGACTGTAATTGACACTCCAGGTTTTGGAGATCAAATCAACAACGAAAACTGGTACCTTCTTTTAGCAGCTAAATACCTCATATTTAAAGTGCCTTTCTCTTATGCCTTCCCTTTCTATTGTCCAGTTGGCAGCCCATCATGAGATTCATTAATGACCAGTATGAAGCATACCTTCAAGAGGAAATCAACATCAACAGAAAGAAAAGGATCCCCGACTCCAGGGTCCACTGCTGTATATACTTCATTCCTCCCACTGGCCACTGGTGAGCAGACCTTTAGTCCATTAAACTAATATGACATGACACATGCCAACAAAATGAATCTTGTGAGTTCTGGTGAACATGGCATCGAGCCAAAGGATTGATATAATCTTCTCCCTGGGTACAACCTGGGTCACACATGGATCTTCTTGTCTGTTGTTAGTTCCTTGTGTGGGGCTTAGTAGTGACTTTTAGTGTCTTTATAAAGAGATGCATTTGCAGGATTTTTATGCATGTACCTTTGTTGAATCCAAGAGCACCTTTTAAGGGCCAGGCCTGTCTAAATGTGGTGTCCTTTACTCGCATGGTAGCCTGCTGAGATGCCCCTGTCTCTGTGCCCCACTGACTCTTGTTGATCCAACACATGTCACATGGTCACATAGTCTGCTGGCAGCTGCTGCAGCTCCACTTTGCCTTAAAAGCCTAATGGGAGAAGGGCAGGAAGGACAGAGACACTGAGTCTGTGTGGGTCTGGGTGTGTTGTCTTTATCATGACACTCAGGCTTCTTTTTCTGTGCAATAAACTTATAGAAATACGTGGATAGTAAAGGCTCTTCAAAAGAAAACCTTATTCTCTCTTAAATGTTTTTGATAAATGTTGGGCACAGGTAGGATTTCTGCAGGTTAAATTTGTAATACTGATGTTGTCTGGTTTCAGTCTTCGACCTCTAGATGTTGAATTTATGAGACGTCTAAGTAAAGTGGTCAACATTGTTCCGGTCATTGCCAAAGCAGATACGTTAACCCTGGAGGAGAGGGACTTCTTCAAGCAAAAGGTTCAAAACCCGTACCTAGTATTTATTTTTTAAATCTGTTTCCACAACTGTCCAATTGTAAAACATTTCTATGCAACAGATCAGAGAAGAACTAAGAGCCAATGGGATTGATGTTTACCCCCAAAAGGAGTTTGATGAGGACCAGGAGGACAGAATGATAAATGAAAAGATCAGAGTGAGTGCGGCATAAAATGCGGTGCAAATTGTGCCTCTTAGTACAAGATTGTAATAAAACACATTTTTGTTCTGGTACAGGAGATGATACCATTCGCTGTGGTGGGCAGTGATCAAGAGTACCAGGTCAATGGCAGAAGGCTGTTGGGCAGAAAAACCAAGTGGGGAACAATTGAAGGTAAACCATCACTCAAAGGGTTGTTTTGTGTGAAAGAACTACAGTGTTTACAGACTATCCAATGTTATGTTGTACAGACACAGTCAACATGTCAGTATTCATACATTTTCTCTTTATTAGGGATAGAATTATGGCTGTGTCAGAGGACAATATCAATTAAAAAATGTATTTAAAACATTTCAGATTAATGACACTGTAAAAGCTTGAGCACAAGGCCTGTGTGCGTGTGCAAATAACATGTTAGTATAAATAAAATGTTAGTATTTGAACTCAGATCATGGCTAAAACATTCTTGACAGAACATTGCTCTGGCACCACCTACTGGACAGACCGAAGAAATGCCTTCAGTCTTTTTTGTGTGTTACACTGTTGGCTGTTTGCCTTCTTGCCCTAACTTGTGTTGATGTGTTTCTCTCCATCAGTCGAGAACATTGCCCACTGTGAATTCGCCTATTTAAGAGATCTTCTCATCAGGTCAGCCATGTTTTTTGTTTTCCTGCACATATTCAGAAAACATGTTTGTGTGCCTTTGCTCATGTAGATTTTTCTCCATCTTAAGGACCCATATGCAGAACATAAAGGACATCACCAGTACCATCCATTACGAGATGTACCGCGTACGTCGACTGAATGAGAACAACACAGGAGCGGTACACACTAACGGCCTCTCTGACCACTCTGCTCACGAGATGTAACCAGCGCCCCCTGCTGACTTTACTCGCACACTACTCCACATCCGCATCGCTGGTGGGAGACAGGCTTCAGAGCTCCCCAGAAGGGACTTGTGAGGGGCAGCGGCTGAATGGACTGTTTATGTCAGCTACTATCCTCACGCTCTGAAGCACCATGCAGAGCTCTGTAATGTGCTGCTGTCTGAATATACATGCTTTCTGATCTTATTTTACATTTTAATCTGTAACACCAAAGTTTAAGCATCTGCCAAATGACTAAAGACATTTGCCAAATTGTTTTAATGAAAATCTATTCCACATTTTTAGCAGTATGTTAGGCCTACTTACCATGCATGCAGGAAACATGATTGATCAATCTGATGGATGTAAAAAGATGGACTGATTTAAGGCCAAAGATATTAGCAGCTCGTAACGCTGATATATGTCAACATGGCAGAAAATACATTCTGATTTACTTCACTTAATTTTAGCCTGTTTCTGTTTTTTGACTTCAATGTGAGCTTGAATGTGTCAATTTGTTATACACTTTGATGTTTGTTTAAATATCTTAGAGTGATTATTTTAAGATGAAAAGTATATGCACATTTTAAAATGTGAACAGTTGAACCACAGTTGCCCATTTTAACACTATCAATATCCTTGCCTCACAGTGCCTTATTTATCGGCAATTGCTGGCTATTAGATGTACCTGAAACTGGAGTATAGGTTAGTTTGTACCACGCTGACATGACTTACAGTTTGTGTTTGTACAAATATGCATAAGATATATCTATTTTTGACCAGCCCAGTTATTTCTTTGCAATATACAACTCTGTCCCACAAAATGGCTCTTTTTGACGTCAATGTCTTCTTGTATTTCCTAATGTGTCTTATGTTTTTGTACTATTAATAACAAATGTTTATCTTATTTTAAATAAAGAATATTAAAATAGTTTTTTATACTATCTCTATTCACAATACATGCTGGATAAGATAATTTTCTGCTGCACTAGATTCCTGCGCAGGTGTAACTCAGTGCAGCTCTTTAATCGTTCTTGTCATTAAGCTTTTTCCTGATTACTTCCTCAAATCAATTTGTCCGCCTGCGAGGTCAGAGCATGGTTGATTAGCAGTAATTATTTAAATGCATGAGTGCCTTTTTGGACTCAGAGAAGGGAGAGGTTGCTCTTAAATTAATGCTGATTTGTGAGAGATACATGTACAGGATTTTACAGGTTAATAACATTGGTCTTACAGTCAAATATCTTCTGCAGTGTGCTGGCTCTGCTTTGACACTACTTTTCTTTTAGCTTGTTTACTCAGACCATAACTGCTGTTTAGTAGGGCTGAATAGTTTTGTTTGTTTTTGATGGAAAGACTTGAGCTGCCTGTCCTCACAAACACTGTTCATTTAGCAGCCTCTGCATTCCTTTGCCACATCCTCTGAATAGGATACTAGTGCTCTAGTGCTCTCTCCTTCCACCTTGGTTCTGGTTAAGATCCCAGTTTAGTCCTGGTGTAGCCCTGGTTTGGTTAAGTCATGTCTGGCTCATGTCTAATTGTGTGCAGCACTCATCGATCAGTCATGCTATGATGCATTTTAGCCTTCGTCCATGATCTCCAGGGCTAACTTTGATCTCCATTTGATGGAACACATTCCTTTATATTTTTTTAGGGTAAGGGTTCTGGGAAAGATTTTGGAGGCTCAGGCAATTATCTGAGAGATTATAATGGTGTTTAATGGATGCTGTTTTGGCCTGATCCCCTAACAATGACATAACATCAAAGAGCTTCACATGGTCTGCGTCCTTTGCCATTAAATTCTGATGTCCATCTATTTCTTACCCAGACAGTTTTAAAATGTATTCTAATTGCACTCTGATGTTTTGGAAAAATAAATGAATGAGCACAACAGAACAAAGACATCTGCATGTCAGGCTTGGCACACTGTGAACGAGGTTGTCTGAGCTCAGTGCACTTATTCAATAGCAAAAGAAAAAATCTATTCTGTCACCTGGACAAAAGTTTTAGAGTGAAGACATTTCAGTGCTCATCCAAACGGCTTTTTCAGTTTTGGGGAACTGTGAAACAGATTTCTTCTTTTGCTATGGATCATCCCTAGATGACTCAGGCAGTATACAGATATTCAGTAGTTAAAATGCATGAGTGGGCATGGTATATACTGTTTATGTGCCATTAACTGTTGTTAAAAATGTTGTTTTAAAGCTTTGAATGTGAGGCAATTAACACCTATATTTAAATAATGACTTAAATGGCTAACTTGGTGGAGAATTTTCATATTGCATACATAAAGGTGCCACTGTAATTTCATGGACTCCTTTGTTGTCAGAGATTTCACCTCCTCCATTTTTCCATCCTCCTTTAATCTCCCTCTCTCTAATGCAGTGTACACCCTTCTATCCCTTTCTTTTGGCACTGTGCCAGGCTTTCAGACACTGCAGGGCAGGAAGGAGCCCAAATTATATGCAAATTCCTCAGCAGTATGCAAATTAGACTAGCTGTTAATTAAAAGTCATATGCAAATTGTATTAAGTGTGTGAATCAATAAAGAAAGAAGCCACATTTGAAGCCTGGTGTAGAGGAAGATTGAGGTGGCAGGTTAGAAGGGTTGTAGGGGTGGAGCATACGATTAGCAATAACATAAAACTAAGGCCATTCATGTAAATAATTCAACCAGTTGTGTGGTTTTCATTTTGTTCTCAAAGTATAAAAGTCAAAAGAAGCTGAAATGTGTTAAGATAGCTCTATTTCATCTTGTACAGAGATCCATCAGAGTAGTTCTCAGTCCCACTGCATATTTAGACTTCATGAGGCTTTTGTTTAATTTGTAGTGATTTAAGTACTGATTTGTCTCTGAACTTTCTTTTTTGTTGATTATGGTAGCCTGTTAGTAGAGATTGCTACTGCAGTTATAAAATGTATTTAAAAAAAATGATTTATGTGATATCAAAATTACTTCATAGTAGAAACTCCAAATTCACTGCAGTTATTGTCGTCCTACTAGTCAACAATATACATATATATATGTATGTATATGTGTGTGTGTGTGTGTGTGTGTGTGTGTGTGTGTATATATATATATATATATATATATATATATATATATATATATATATATATATATATATATATATATATATATATATATATATATATATATATATATATATATATATATTTTTTTTTTTTTTTTTTTTTGTCCTCTTCTGAATTGGCCTGTGGCAATTAAGGAATGCAATCTGTCTTGAGAAGAAAATATACTTTCCAACACTATATAGCATGTCAAGAATAAAATATTTTATATTTATATATCTATTATTTATATTAGCTTTATTATCAGAACCAAATTTAAGTAGACTAATATGTTTTCATCCGTATTGCATAATGATTATTTGTATAGCAATAGTCATACATTTATTAGGTGTAAACTACGACTAACCTAAAGGAGAAATTACATGTTTAAAGAAGAAACAGTTGAAGCTGTGGTGAACATGGTGTTGTTGTGAAGATTTGGGCAGTAAACAGTGTCACAGACAGGTGTGTGTGTGGGGGGTGAGGGGGGTGTGACAATGGGTGGAGATATTAATTTTCCACATGAGTACACAGGCACAATAAGAAGAGTGAGAGCAGAGCCACACAAAGCCTTCTCCACTAATCAGAAATGGAAAATGTAGCTGTGCACGCTTAAGGTCAAGTGTGAAGGGATGGAATAAAACAACAAAATACTTTTAGTTTGCTAGTTTGTAAGAGGTCAGATGTGTTTGTGTTGAAATTGTATTTGAATACACATTATTATCAGTATTTTAATATGTTAGTAAACTGATAGTATTGGAAAGTAGGTGCAATAGGTTGCTTTCATGTTCAAGAATTTGATGGTGTCATAGTTTCAAATGGTGGACAGGGGCCTATATAAGATGAGATTCATCGTTCATTAGACAAATAGCAATTATTTTAGAGATAGGCTGCACAATTTTACCATATATTGAATAATGGCATCACTTTTTGACCATAAAATTTTGGCCTGTCCTGAATTTTAAACCAGTTCCATATTGTGACAGGGAATTGGGGTTTAGGGTTTAACTCCTTTCTGTCTGTGTATCATTTATTTCTGCTTTATAATACATTCATTATTACCTGTATCAATACATTTGCATTCAAATTCATTAAAATCTATCTCCTTCAAAGACAAATGTTTTATTAATAACTATTATTTCCCTATTGGCATTACATTAAATCTTAACATAGTCTACATCTTTCAACACACGAACCCCTTCTCAAATTAACCTTATTACATTTGCCACAGTTATTATTTAAACATCTTTTTCAGTGTGTAGCTGTCAATCATGCACAAAGCTATAAGATCTGAAGTCTCAAGGGGAATACATTTGCTGTACTGAATTGTAAACATTTGTAATATGAATTTGCGTGACTCTTTACATTATTAAAGGTGCACTTTACTCTCCTCATAGAGATATTATTTCTTTGCTTAGAATGTTTCACAGTATGACATTAACCTATATATCACCCTGGAGACAAGGTGATGTCACATGGCTAAGTTACAGGTTTTTCAAGGTTTGTGCAATACAAATTCAAGGTTTGTGCAATAACAAATACGCAAAATTGAAGAAATGCAAGATATACTAGATAGGTTTATTGCTACACTATTGAATATTCCAAGCACAGCAACACATCATGGACATGAGAAGGTGCCATACCCTCCAGAAAAGTTGCCTTTAATATTTTATTTATTATAGCAAATACAGCCAGATTTAAACCACTAATGAGAAAAAAAACATCACTTATGTCGTTGTTGAACTGATAACTTCTTTAAAATGTGTGGTTTTTTTTTCTCCTTTTATAAATCAAGCCTTTCTATTTCTAGCTTTGGTGCCCCTGCAGAACATCATTTACCCAGGTCCTTGTATCAACATTAGCTGTATGGTGTCCCTCTGCTGCCTCTGCTTGTACAAACACAATAGCCTCTTATCCATTAGCCTATAGTGGTAATCTATACACTGCACCAACAAGTGGATTAGAGCCTGACAAGCTTAGGCGGCCAATACAGTTTGACAGATAGTGCCCTTCACCTAAATGGTAGAGAAACACATTCACACAGAGGGGACCTAATCTGGTTTAGGGCCCTAATGATGTTATGAAGGAGTACTATGAGCAGCAGTACTTTACATGGGGTGACATTGACTGGGACGGAGGAGGTTCATCTCAAGCCATCTCCTCCTGGGACCCAAAGAAAAAAAGCATATTGCTATATATATATATATATATATATATATATATATATATATATATATATATATATATATATATATATATATATATATATATATATATATATATATATATATATATATACAATCTATATTTGTGAATTTCTATCTGTTTGGAGATAAATGAGCACCTTAACATTAACATTTTGTGCATTTTATTTTTATTTATAATTTTATAACATGTCCTCTATAATGGACATCAGGAATATTTTGGTGTTAAATCCATGTGAAGTTAACAACCTAACAAAAACAACTTTTTTGATGACCAACATCTCTGACAAGCTTCTACAGTCACCTCAATTTAGGCAGAGGAAACTAGTCCCCCCATTAAGAGTCTATCTTAAAACACTTCAAAGATAGACATGGTTAACTCAATGTCCACTTTAAAGGACACAAATGAATGGGCTGGGTCTCAGGAGGAGGAGGTTCTACTGGGTAATACTAAGGCATGGTTCACTTTTCACAAGAAGCAAAGCCTTGTTCAGAACCCTCTATTCACCCTGGACCTGGGTAACAGATACGCCCTACAGATGCAGAAAACAGAATAACAGGCAAAGGATTACACACTGGCAGGATGCCCCAGCAAAATTGAAAGATGGATCAAATGCGGAGGACTAATTTCCATATAAAGTGGACCTAAAACCAT